TTATAAGAGATGAAACATCTAGAAGAAATGCTATGAAAAATGTATGACATCTAAGCTAGAAATCCCAGAGGAAATTGAATGGCAGTTGTCTGAGGAACTAATTCTCTGGTTGCATTGACAGTAAAACACAGAGGATGTTGTTAAAGTGAGAACACCAAACATTTCAAATCTCCTCTAAATAATGACTACACAGTCATCTTCAAAAAGAAAAGTATACAAACCATATATACAGTTACAATTATAGTGACGTTTGAGAAAATGCAGGTGCCTAGTCCCGCACCACAGTCAGCAAAAAAACAAGATGCACAGTGCAGTGGTATTTCCAGACATGTCACATTTGGAAACATCCTGTTTGTTCAAAATCTGGCTACCGATTTTCCATCTACTGCTCCCATTACAAAATATTGTAATTATCCCCTTAAGAGAAAATTATCATGTCATCTTCAAAAGCAGAAACACAGAAAAGGCATTGGAGGCTCCCTGCCCTCACGCACACATGTAGTATATTCTTAGAGAATCTCAGTCCTGTTTCTACAGTCAGGGAGCAAGTCCTGGATCAGAACAAAGATGAAAACAGCACAGAAGCTCCTCCCCCTCCTGTAGGTTGTCTCCACCGGGCACACCCTCCACAACACAGACCCTCCCCCCAGCCTTACACTGACCCAGGGCTGCCACTCAGGACTCTTTCTGTGTCTCCAGAAGAAGATGCCCCACCCGACTGGTGCTCTGACCAGCCACGTATAGGTCACTCTGTGCCACTCTTCCAGTCTTAAATGATTAGAGCATGAAGTTACTTTCCATATTCTGGAAACAAAAGAAGAAAACTGGAAAAGAATTTTCAAAACAAATGAGAGGATGTAAACAATATGAGAAAGACTGAACTATTAGATGGGGTGACCATCGCCTGGTTTGACAGGAATAAGGGCACGTCTGGGACTCAGGGTGTCAGTGCTGAAAGCAGGAAAGTGAAGAGTTGGTCCCCCTACCAGGTCTTCTTGAACTTAAGCCCAGTTTTATTCAGTAGCCAACAAATTCTTACACAGAAATTCAGTTCTTTGTGTACTTAATGATTCCTCGTAACTGGAATTCCAGCTAGAAATGGAATCGTTTCACCAAGAAATCGGATAGCTGTGAGAATTCCTAAGGAACTGGGGAAAGAATCACAAAATCTCTCTTCCCTTATGGAACAAAGGGGCCGTTTGGCAAGGGTCCATCCTGATGGGGAGACAGTCCACGTGCCGGGCACTTCCAGGACTGGGGTTCAGGGATCTGACGGGAGGCGCTATTTGGAGAGAGCACAGTGTGTCACTCAAAAGGGTTTCAAATTGAGCTGATGCAGAAACCACAGCTCACAGAAGATGACGGGACAAGCAACCTGGACCCAACAGACAGATCTTGAGCTAAACAAAGTATCAACAGGGGATTTAAACAAGACCCCTTGTTTCATCGTAGAATGACGGCTACATCCAGGATAGAACACAAAATGCTCGACATGTGAACAACCAGGAAAAGCTCAACTGTAATAAAAGTCAAAATTTAAAAAGGCAACTCCTATCAGGGAGACATGTTGGACTTTCTCACGAAGATTTTAAACCACCTTTTTAAAAATAATGTAGGAAACAAAGCCTCGAAAAGGGAATGAAAATATTGAAATTCTTAGCCAAGTAACAGAAGATATAATGAAGCACAAAGTGGAGGTACTGAAAATGACAAGTGCACGAGACGGGATTAATGGCAGATTGCGTCCTGGGAATGAAACTAGTGACCTCCAATCACAGAAATGGAAGTGTCCAAAGCAAACACAGAGGGGAAAATGAATTCTATAACATGGAATATTATCAGTCAATGTGGGACCACTTCAAGTGACCTAATAACACATATAATTTGAATTTTCAAAGGAGAAGAGACAGACTGACAGCAGGAAACCACATCTCCAGAAGCTCAACAAACCCCAAATGTAAGACACATGAAGAAAACCACATCAAGACTCATTATAAACAATGCTTGTTTGTGTGGACACCTTTCCAGACCGCTCTTTGGCTTCACTGATTATTGATTCATTAGTAAAATGTCAACTACAGAAGTTTGCTCCCTGAGGAATCTGTCACATCGTTTCTTTCTCTCTCTCTCTTCTCCAACTCTCACAACACAAAGCGTAGTCAACAGAGAATCCTCACTCTGGTCATTGCAGGTGAAACTGAGTGAGTACCCAGCTATGTCTACTCTTCCTAAACCCCACTAAACCTGTATTGAAGGTAATAGTCATATGCCAGAGTTTTCTGTATGAGACCAAGGAGCAGGAATATACACAGCAACACAAATTTGGAAGCCAGGATGCATATTGATGATTGTTAACTGACTTAATCTGACAAAGCCCAGTCCCAAGTCTGCAAAAGTTCAACTTGACATATTATTTTTAAATCTCGATCAGTTGTGAGTATGCAAGTGATGAGTTGATATAAATTAAAAGTTAAAATAAGTGAAAGCTGTTCCAGTAGCAGGTGGCTCGCCACATCCTCTCTCCTCTGAGTAGTGAGGCTGGTTGACAACTGCCCATGACCCCTCCCTGCACAGATGTTGAATCTCACTTCTCTGGATGAGGGGAAGCCAGGTGGAGATGAATCTGTGGGAATCATGAGGACAACCCCATGTGTCTCACGATCATTGTGTCCTCTGCCCACCTCTCTCTAATGGTCCTCTCTATTGATGCATTCCCTGGTAGGCAATAGACAGAAGGATTCACCTATAAGGAAGCACGTCTGCCAGAGGCTGACAGCAATGACAGCATCCTGTGATGTTCAGGTCTGCGTGGCCTGGATTTGTACATCCCGTCTATGCCAGGCTTGTCTTGACATGAGCCATGTCACAGGGTCCCCATCAGCCAAGAATAATCTCTCTTCCTCCCGGTGAAGTGATCTCAGACTACTCCTGGGGTCCATGCTGAGCCAAGGCACAGAAAAAGTGAGGCAGCTAAATCCCTGACAATACTCCTACTGGATACCCAGGACCTGCCCACATCCAGTAAAGACACATACACAACTCTAGGGTCCCTTTTCTTCCTCCGGGGCCAGGACTGTTGTATTCAGGAGGGGCTCCAATCGATCCTAGGGAACCTTCACCCAGGAATGAGAATGAGCCTCTCATAGGGTCAATGTCTCCCGGAGCCTCCCCTGATAGACACATTGTCCTTTCCTCACTCAAGGAAGTTGTTGCTGGTTCCCACTGTTTCAAACTCTGTTGTTTTGGGGATGCAACCTAGGAAGGTGCAGTGAAAGAATGTAAAGAAAACAACAGATGATTAATACCAACTGCAGCACAGTGACTAATTGGAGAGTGGGATGGATGCAGAGGCTTCAGTGGGTAGACGTATCGGTGGGTCCATGTGGTTTCCATTTATTATTCTTTCTTAAGTTGTGAATATTCATTTCATGTCCACTTCTTTAGGAATGATACATTTCATAATAAGAGGAATTTAGAAAAATAAACTGAAATGTACCTGAACGCTTTTCCTTTCCTTAGCTACATAGTTAGGAATTCGGAACAAATGTAGATGTAGAGAAAGTTTTTGCGAGAAACCACAATTATAAGGTGAAAAGTCTGTGTTTTTAGCCTTTGGAGATGGTAGAAACCGTCACCTAGAACCTTTGTACAAAGAAACTGGGAAAGGGACCCCACCCCAGGGGCCTAGTGGTTAAGTTCAGTGCCCTCCACTTCCACGGCCAGGGTTTGCTTCCTGGACATGGACCTACACCACTTGTCTGTCAGTGGCCATGCTTTGGCAGCGGCTCACATACAAATAAAGAAAGATTGGCAGTGTATCTTCACACAGGGTAAATCTTCCTCAGGAGCAAAAGAAATGAAACTGAAAAAGGAAAAGAAAGAGTCAAATGTGGGACAAAGTTCCCTCTTACTTTGATGAATCTGAGGCCCAACCCCACCCTGCTCTCTCCAGCATTTCCAGGACAAGTTCAAACAACACATAGAAAAGAAGGAAGGATGCCCTTCAATGTGGAATCCTTAGGAGGGTCTAAGAATGAGAGAAGAAGGTAGCATTGACTGCCTCCTAAAGCTTTCCCGGAGAATGAATGTGATATTTTTATTTTGTCATGTGAAGTCATGTAAACTTAGAATCTTCTTGCCCTAGATCCTGAAAGGATCATTCGCCCTTGGGTTGTGACACAAGAAGAGACAGAAAAATTAATGGCACTCCATCAACTGATTAATGGATAAATAAATGGGGTATATCGATACAATGCTATATTATTCAGTCACAAGAAGTGGTGAAGTACTGATACTATATGCTTCCATATGGATGAACTTTGCAAACACCATGATGAGCAAAGGAATCCAGACACAAAAGACCCTTTAGTGTAGGATTTCCTGTATGTGAAATGTCCAGAATAGGCATATCCATACACAGAGGTATTAATTAAGGGTTGTGAGTGGTTGAAGTGTGAGTGAAGTGGGGAGTGATTGTTAATGGATGCGGAGTTTCTTTAGGGGGACGAATGTGTCCTGGAATAATTAAGTGTCAACAGATGTACAAACTGTGAATGTATTAAAATCCACTGAATTCTACACCTTAAAATGAAGAATTTTACAGAATGTGAATTCTTTCTTTAAAAAGTATTAAGGCTTAGGAGGTAGTGTATACAACTTACTCTCAAATGATCCAGAAAATGAATAAGTTTTGTGTGTGTCTGTTGTGTACGTATATTTACAGATGTGTATGCACATATACAAACACATACATATATATACAGAGAGAGAGATGAGAAATAAGGAGATTTAATGTAACACAAATAAGCAAATTGTTAAAAATTGGTGCATCTGGAAAAAGGTTATTCAGGATTTCTTTAGTTTTCTTTAATTTTTTATTAAAAATTTGTAATTATTTCAAAATAAAATAATAAAGAAAAATTGAAAGTCTGAGTTTTGGAATGAAGGGAGTTGAGTGAGCTCAGAGGAGGTTTTGGTCTCATTTCCCCATGAACTTAAACCACTGTGGAAATTGTTACTGCTTCCATACGAGCTACAGTAATAATCTGCCTCATCCTCAGCCTGGAGCCCAGAGATGGTCAGCGAGGCGGTGTTGCCAGACTTGGAGCCAGAGAAGCGAGCAGGGATCCCTGAGGCTCTAGAACTGACATCATAAATCAGGAGTTTGGGGGCTGTGCCTGGGGGCTGTTGGTACCAGGAGATGTAGTTATAACCCCCAATGTCGCTGCTGCTTCCAGCACAGGAGATGGTGACCCACTGACCCAGAGCCCCAGACGCAGACGGAGGATGAGTCAGGGCTGACTGCGCCCAGGACCCTGGAAAGAGGAAAAATACACTCTGGTGAGTTCACTGTTGGCATCTCAATGAGCCTGAGGAGGAGACAAAGGATCAGCCCAGATGTCCCCATGGTCCCTTCCCTGGAGGCCTCACCTGTGCCCTGAGTGAGGAGGGTGAGGAGGAGCACAGCCCAGGCCATGGTGGACATGCCTCAACAGCACTGCCTTCTGAGACCCCAACCCTGGGCCTGCCTCCCCCAGACCTCTCTTATCCCTTCCTTCTACCTCAGAGTTGGGAGGGGCCTCCATGCAAATCTGCTTCCTGCACCTGCCTCTCCTCATCCCTTCTGACCTGGTCCTTGATTCTAGATATTTCTGCATCCTTGGTCAGCAGAACTTGCACATGGATTAAAACTCTTTAACATGTTCTGAGGCAGGACAGACTCAGCCTATGACACTTGCAGAACTGGATCCAGCCCAGGGGTATCCCCCTTTTTCCTGTTATGGAGATGAGGTAGCTCCTGGGTAAGAAATCCCAGGATTGCACTCTGTGCTGTGTGGGGCAAATGTGAGGACAGGGTGCCAGACTGGCTGATAGAGATCCCATTGCTTCATTTCCCTGGTATCAGGGGAAAGCTAAGGACCACTTAGGGCCCTCAACCATTAGACCCCTCTGTTAGGAGGGTACTTCAGGAATCACCCTACCCTCTGTCTCTGCAGCGGCTTGAGACTGAGGTCTGAGGCTGAGCCCTGGATGGTTTATTAGCCCTTTTAGAAGGTGAGTTCTTGGGGGCAAAAGCACTTTGGGACACAGAGGGGCTCAGAGGGAAGCAGCTCTTCAATTTCATCCAGGACAGCACAAGCCACAGCAAAGACCTTCCCAAGTCCAGGTGCTTTCTGCCCCCTGGTGGCCTCAGATGGTACAGCCCAAGCACCAGGGAAGGCAGCTGAGCAGGAGCTGGAAACCCCTCATTTGCTCCCCTCCCCTCCTCCCTCCTTCCCTGTCCAGCTCAGTACCTGGCCCCTGATCCCTTCCATTTCCCTCTTATCTCTGTTCTTTTTGTCTATTAAATTCCTCCAGAATGGAATGTGTCACCTGCCACTCCAGGTGGCCCATGGGTCACCTCAGGACAATCTAGCATGTCCCACCACAGCCTCGCAAGATTATTGCTTGTGAGGCTTCTGTGGGCTCAGAGATGAGGAAACATTAGTTGTGAAATATAACCAACCCCCAGTAGGAAGGGCAGATTAGAAAAACGAGACGTGGTGAAGATAGACTGGCTTCTCAATGTCTGGAAAGAAAAAATACTACCTGAGGAAGAGAAAGCTCTGTGCGATTGGGAAAGACTTCAAGAAAAGCAGGAGGTGAATTCCAGTGTTTGAGGAGTTGGGAGAAGAGCACCTGGGTCAGAATTGGCCTGAGGGCCCCTCTCCAGGGACCTCTCCTCAGAGCATGTTTTGGTGTCACGGAAGAGGGGACTTTTCTTCTTATTCTGCTCTTCACACACATCAAGACAACCTCACCTCAGTGCTGTGAGACTTCTTGAGGTCAAGTCTCTTCCATCCACAGAGAGTTGTTTCATCTAGTGTGTTTTTCTAGGTTTGAAGTGTGTCTCTTGTATGCAGCATAAATATGGGTCATGTATTTTTATCCAATCAGCCACCCTATGCCTTTTAATTGGAGCATTAGTCCACTGACATTTAAAGTAGCTATTGATAAGGATGGACTTACTTCCATTTTTTAACTTTCTTTTCTTGGTGTTTCACTAGTTCTTCTCAGTTGTTCTTCTTCTCTTGCTCTCTTCCCTTGTGGTTTGTTGGCTTTCTTTAGTGTTATGTTTGGGTTTCTTTCTGTTAGTTTTTTGTGTATTTATTATAGGTCTCTGGTTTGTGATTACTATGGAGTTCATATACATTAACCTACGTATATAGCAATATTTTAAGTTGATGGTCTCTTATATTGACCTCTATCTGATAGCTCTACACTTTAACACTCGTCGTCCCACATTTTATGTTTTTGATATCATATCTAACCTCTTTTTTGTGCATTTGTATCTGATACTCTCTTATCATGGAAATAGATAATTTTTCCTATTTGTGGTCTTCTCTTTCCCCCTTAGAAAAGTCCTTTTAGCATTTCTTGTAGGACGGGTTTCTTGGTGACAAACTCCTTTATTTGTTGCTTGTCTGAGAAACTTTTTATTTCTCCTTCCATTTTTAACGATAACCTTGCTGGGGAGAGTATTCTTGGCTGTAGGTTTTTTCCTTTTAGCACTTTAAATAGATCGTGCCACTCACTTCTAGCCTGTAAGTTTTCTGCTGAGAAGCCAGCTCATAACCTTATGGGGTTTCCTTTGTATGTAATTTGTTGGCTTTCTCTTGGGGCTTTTAGGATTCTCTCTTTATCATTAATCCTGTACATTTTAATTATGATGTGTCTTCGTGTGGGCCTCTTTGGGTTTATCTTGTTTGGTGCTCTCTGTGCTTCCTGTACCTGAACGTCGGTTTCCTTCCTAAGGTTAGGGAAGTTTTCAGCTATTATCTCTTCAAATAGATTCTCTGCCCCTTTGTCTGGCTCTTCTCCTTCTGGGACACCTATAATATGGATGTTAGTGTGCTTGATGTTGTCCCAGAGGTCCCTTAGACTGTCCTCACTCATTTTAATTCTTTCTTCTTTTATCTGTTCAGCTTGGGTGATTTCTTCTAGTCTTTCATCCAGCTCGCTGATCCATTTTTCTGTATCCTCTACTCTGCTTTTGAGTCTCTCTAGTGAATTTTTTATTTCCAGTATTGTATTCTTCATTTCTGATTGGTTCTTTTTTATATCTAGTATTTCTTTGTTGGCGTTCTCACTGAGGTCATCCATTCTTCTACCAAGATCAGTGAGCATCCTTAACACTATTTGTTTGAAGTCTCTGTCTGGTAGGTAGCTCATTTCCACTTCATTTAGTTCCTTTTCTGGGATTTTGTCCTATTCTCTTCCTTGGAACATATTCTTTTGCCTCCTCATTTTCCCTCTTTCCCTGTGCTTGTGTCTACGTATTAGGTAGGTCAGCTACATCTCCTGATCTTGGAGAGGTGACCTTACGTAAGTGATGCCTTAGGAAGCCTGCAGTGTGCTTCCCTCTCATCACCAGTTCCAAATGTTCCAGGAGTGACCCCTGTGTGGGCTACATGTGTCCTTCTGTTGTGGCATGGTTGCTCTTCCCATAGGTGCCCAGGGAGATTGAGCTGTCCCCCTGGCCAGCTGTTGTAATGCTCAGCCCCTTGTAGTTGTTGTGGGCCCTTCAGTCTCTTTTTCGGGTGAGGGGAGCCCCAGCACAGTTGGCTGAAGATCTAATAGCACATTCCTGCTACAGCTTTTCTATTAAGTGAGTAGGCCCCCAGCGTGGCTGGCTGTTAGGCTCAGGTGCTTTCAATTGCTATAAGCCTCCAGCCTATAAGGTTCTTGACAGCTCTCTGAGGATTGCAGCTGAGCGTGGCTGGCCCACTGCACAGGAGCACCCAATTGTTTCAGATTTTGGAAGGTAGGCCAATCCCCTATGTGGGTCTTTGAGAAGCACAAGTCTTCTGCAGCTGACAAGCCCTGCCGCCCAGAGGTTCAACATAGTCCTGCCTCATGTGTGCACCCTGAACCCCTGAAGTGGACCCAGTCTCTCCAAGGCAGGAGCCCGACACACTCCACCAATGCCCTATACTCTCCATCTGCTCCTTGTGGACACCTTGCCCCACAGAGGTAGACCCACTAGCTGGGCAGTGGAGAATCCAGTCACCAATCTATGCAGGCCCACATATTGCCCGAGGGCTTGTTGGTGGGTGGGGCCAGTCCCTAGGATGGGCTGCCTGCCCTGGCCAGCTGGATTAAATCCATGGTCTAGTGGCTGGGGAAGACCCTGCGATAGCAGGCCACAGGGAGAATTCCAATGGCGTCTGCCAGCGTTTGTGTCAGCATGGCCACACCAGGTCACAACAATGGCCTCCACAAATGTGCCAGTCCCTGGAGAGGTCTCACCTCTCACCAAGATGCCCTCAGAGCCTATCAGGTGAGTCTTTTTTCATCAAAGGACTGTGCACCTTGCTTTCTGGTGATTTTAGGTTGCTTTCTGAGATGGCTGAATTTGTGCGTGGGCCCTTTCAAAGACAGCTTTAATTTCTTGGTGAACCAGCTTTTCTGGGGGTATTCCCCAATGTTTTTAGTAGCAAGCAAAGTCAGATATTATGCCACTCATCTCGGTTGTGCTGGGTCCAAAAATGCCTATAGCGGGAGTGCTCCCTGGCTCAGGGCCCCACTCCTCCAGGGAAGGCTGCATATTTTGGGGCTGCTCCCGGGTGGCTGTGAAGCGCTATGGCTTGTGAAGGTGCATTTTTTCTCTGCAGAAGGCAATTTATGCCACTTCCACCTCAGTTAGGATTGTCATTTGTTGTAGGGGTTCTTCTTATGCACTTTTCAGTTCTCTCTCAGGTGGAATTTTCCCAAGAGTAGTGGTAAATTGGCTGTGTCTGTGAGAGGAGGTGAGTTCAGAGTCTGCCTATGCCACCGTCTTGACTTCTCCCCTTGCTAGTGTGTTTTTCTAAAAAGGAATGGGTTTGGGGTAAAGTCTCAGCAATACTGACTGGACAAATTATGGAAAATTTTCAAAGTAATTCCCTTTTTGTGTAGAAAAATACTCAACCTCTTTACCTAGGCTGTCAGTCATCATGTGATCTCTGTGCCACCCACCATTCCCCCTCATCTTCCTCTTCTCAGGCCCCAGTTGATGATACTTCAGGCAGGGTGGATTTCTTTCTGGTCCTGCAATTGGCCATATTATTGCTACCTCAGTGCCTTTGCACAGGCAGCTCCTCTGTCTGAAATTCTCATGTCCTCATATTCACATGTCTGGATCTGTCTGAGGAGGCAGAAATGTGCACCAGCCACCCACTCCATAAGGCCTGTTTGTTGAATGAATCGAGGAGAGAGCTCAGGTGGGGAAGCTGAGCTGCAGCATTTCCCCAAAGAGTCTCAGGGCCGCATTCAGCAGGTTAGAAAAAAAATGTCCCCATTCGGGTCTGAGAGAGGACCCCAAATAGAGATAGATTTTGATGCAGTTTCCTCATATGTCCCCCGGCAAATGTCACACTTGGGGCTCTGCTTGCACTCTCTTGCTCTCTCTCTGCAGTGGCCCATGGCTTAGAGGAGGGAAGGGGCATAGGATCTGATCTTTCCCATGTTATCCTTTTCTGGAAAGCAGGATATGGCTGCA